TTTATTAAACTAAACATTTTTTAGATATACTTGAAATTTTGAAACAAGATCAGTGACCATTCACAATACTTTTATTATATAAAAAAAGAAATTTGTTATAACAAAAATTAAATGTTTAGTAAATTTTCAGCTTCTTGCTCTTGATTATATTATAAAAGTAAAGTGTTATTAAGGCAAGATGAATCAATTAGGTTAATTTTTTTTTTTTAAATCTTTCAAGATGAAAAGGAGTTATAGCAGAAAATAGCGGAATGAAAACTGTAAGATTTTCATTGATAGTGCATTGGTTCTTAAAGGAAAATTTACTTTATACAATTTTTTTCTAAAATCAGAGAGAGCTGTAGAGAAGTCTGATCAGCATTATTTGCTGAATAATATGACATATGTATGTATATATTGTAAAAATTACTAATCAATACACTCTCATTCAATAATTATTTTTCTAAGTTTTACAAAGAAAGTGTTAAACTATATGATGAAATTTCTTACCAGGGAGAATGAATGTAATATATATCCAATAAGAAATCACTGTTGATAAATCAGAGTGGCTTAGAATTTTCTTTTCTTTAATTTCCCTAAATAACCAATAAATAATGCCCTCCCACATACACCTTCAATGAAAATTATACTGATATTTGTTTTTAGTGTTCCTTTATTTTGAAAGCACATTGTTCCATATCCCAACATGTCTGCACAAGAATTACTGCCAGTCCCTTATATAATAACAGTATCATTTCCACTTTAATGTTTATTTGCATGAATGTCATTGAAATATCCTACAGATGACTGACAAAATCTTATCAGCAGGACTACCTGATATTACCTAGATTATAATGGCTTCTGAAATTTTTCATTAACCCATTTTCAACTTATTTGACTTTCCTATTCATATTAAACATAGTAGCTAATTAAACCTGAAATACAAAAGAATACATTGCAGAAAAAGATAAGATAAAATGTATTTAAATTATTGAACACATTTTTGTTATTTGTCACTCCTTTGGATCAAAGTTCAGTTTCAAAAAGAGGAGCAAGACTCATTTATTTGACTGTAATATTTTTATTCAGTTGAATATAGAACCATTTACAATTCAGGTTTTAAAACCTTCATTTAATTCTTTACAATATAATTTACCAATAGATTTTGGCATAAGATTTTGAGTGTTTCCTGAAATTGTGTGTTTCAAATGCACATACACACAGTACAATTTATATATTAAATATTTTCTTTTTTTTCTTCAATATGATGAATAAATTGTTTTCCCCATCCTCCTCCTCTCAATTTCAGTGCTCTTTAATGATTACTGCTGCTCCAGTCGCATGTCAATGTCAAATAAATTATTGAAGCTTCTTATTTCATTCCATGCCACTTGTTAAAAGCTTTGTTGCTGTGTAGCACGAGCAATTTTTTTTCCTTTTGCCTTATTCTTTACATAACTATTTCAAAGCTGAACAATGTCCAGTTAGTGTATTTTGTTTTGGCCATTGTCTTTTGAAATATACAACTTGAAAACTTTTCAGCTGGAACTTTTTATTATATTATCATAGAAACATATATGCTAACAAAAAGCTTTAAAAAAAAAAAAAAAAGGCTAACACCACTCACTTAGTGAAAATGATTATTTACTAAGATGTAACTTTGTTTTGGTACAAGGCTACATGTATAGAGCACCTAATGAAGACTAACTCTTTTAATGAAAATTAGTTGGATTACATTTGCTTCAGAAGCCAATTGTAGAATGATAATAAAAAAAAATAATTTGAAATCTACTAAAATCTCCCAAAGCAACATTCTCATATTCAAATTAAATGATAGCATAAGTACTTCAAGGATGTACAGGTAATCTAATGATTATTAGTGTAGTGGATTCTGTATGTCATGTACATGTTCTAACTGAGTCTGTTACATTCACTTCATGCTAAGCCCTTGAGAAAGGCATAAATCCATCTCTTCCACCTCCCTTTTTCCAATGTTATGGATTAAATAACAGGATAGAGTAGGCTCTCTAGCTTTGTATAGAAACCAGTGTTTTTGAGAAAGAAAATTCAAACCAATTGGGCTTACTGAAATTAATTGTGGTGTGGTTATCCTTCAATAATCAACTTTTAGCTTCTCATATAGTCATCATGAGAAGTGACAACAACTCTACCTAAAAGGGGCTATGGCACACTGTGCTTTTATTTTGAGCAATAGAACTTTGTGAAAATTTATATTGCTCTCTGTAAATTACTTGTATATAAATTTTATCCCAGTAATTTTGTTATGAATTTAAAGTGTGATGTAATTTTGGAAAATTAAGAAATGCATGATTAATTTATAGTGGCTTTAAAAAAAGAAAAAAACTTTTGTATATAACTGTCTAACTAGAAGAGAAAAAAAACAAGAAAATCTTTTTAACTGTGATGTCAAGTAATATGAGATTACAGCAAATTAGGCTTACCATATGCCCTGGTTTGAGAGGTCTGTCCCAGGTATCAGCATTTGTTATTTGTTTATTTGTTTGTGTTTTTGTTAGCACTTAAGGGATGTTGGGCCATATTATATAAGAAAACTAAACCTGTAATAAAAACTGAATAGTGCCTTAGTTGGAAATTATGGTAAGCCAACAGTGACTGAAATTTTTTTAAATATTGTATTGAGCTAATTCTGCTATGTATTTAAAAAGAATTGATGTCTGCTTGACTAATGCATTTAATAGACTTTCATTTTACTGCTCTCTTATGTATAATGCTTATTTTGATAGGTTCTTAAAATTCAAAACAATATCATTTTTAAAACTATAATATTTGTTCTTGCATTTTTCTGTTTAGAAAAAAAGTTCTGAATTTAGTTTTGTGTGTGATCAGCATCTGAATAATTTTTAATTCTTTATTAAATTTGTCTATAAGCATTTTACTTGCTGTCATTGTAATTTTCTTGTTTTAAATGGACTAAATCTTTCACCCCATTGTATTTTCAATATCCCTACTTAGTGAGCTTTATGACAAAATTTCACAAAGAATTTGATTTTAAATTGTTACAAGTGATTTTCTTTCTATGCAAAACTTTACAAATGTTTACCTATGAAGTGTTTTTCTTGTTTTTTTTTATTATTATTATTTCCTCCCTTATAATTTATTTTTAGCATTGTAATTTATTATACTATTACAAATTTTAGAGTTGGTCATCAGGAGTTATAATTCTCAAATATTTCTTTAACTCATGGGAATAAATAGACAATGGGCAAATTTCTTTTTATTTGAATTAAAATTTAATAAAATTGGAAATACACTCTAAACTGCATGCAAACTTTGCAATGTTTCATAAGGTTTGTTTGCTGCATTCATATTTATGCATTTAGACTTTTGTTAGAATATCATTTCATTATTAACAAATTAACATTTGATAATCCTGGCATCATTTGCAGTGTGTTTTTTGGTCTCTTTTTATCAAGTATGATACAAATAGAGATCTTCATAATATAAAGTCAAACTGAGTTAAGACATCTAGACATTATCAGTCTGTTCCAATGTAATTGGCTTCTTTAAGATTTTCACCATGCTTGTTAAAGTGGCTTAACTTATAATACAAAAACACAAAGCCAAAAAGAATCATGGAAGCTTTTGGAATGGTGGCTTTTCTAATTCTTAAGAGCAAGTTCAGAACTCTTCAGGTCCTGGCAAAATCACTAAGAACCTATCAGTTAAAGTAAAAAGTAAGACATTGGTTAAAACAAAAACCTGATAAAGGCTTAATTTACTTTTTTTTTTTAAATGACATTGATTCACTCTACCTGAGAAATCCTTCAAAAATCTTACAGCCACTTAGACATTAACATATTTAGGAATCTACTATGTAATGTTTTTTCTTTTAATTAGTTGTACTCTACTGCACCACCATCACCCCAACTTAACCACCATAGAAATCAACAATATAACATAAAGGAAGTTCTAAACTATGTACAAAAGATTATATGTACAACAAAGAAGTATTCAAATAATACTTTGTTTAAATTTACTCTTTTAACAATGTTATGTAAGGGATGCTCAAGATCAAATTGAAGTGTTTTTTTTTTTTCTTTTTCTCTCAAGTTAAACTGAGTCCAGGATATGTTTAAATTGTATTTTACTTATAGTGTATCTTTCAACTTTTTAAAACTTTCTGTTGAACTTTAATATACAATTTGATTAAAAATAATTCAGTCAGTACACAATAAGGTTAATATATTAGTTTTTTCATAGTTAAATACTCTTACCATTTATACTTTGTCTAAACCATTAAAATACTGAGTCAAAAATAATTATTGAAAATGTTTTAACAAAATACTAGTTTATTTTCCTCAATTTAATTGAACAGTCATATTTGGACCAAACTTTGTACATAAGCCATATAAAATATATATAGATTTTATAAGTTTTATTAGGAGGCAAAAGTAATAAATATTGATACTTATTTATGAAAAGGAAAAATCTCCAGTAAAATAATTTGGTTGTTGTTTGTGATTTTTGTCTTTCATGTATAGGAAATCTGCCGTTTAAATCATGATGTTACCAAATTTTTGCCTTTATTTATTTACTATATTGTCCTATACTATTTATTATACTGCCCCCCACCACCACCAAGCAAAAGCTGACCAATATTTGTAAAATTTAAAAGAAAAAAAAAGAAAAATCTTACACAATACTGGTTGAAATCACTTTAGACACCTTAGAGGAAGAGCATTATCTAACATACAAAAAAAATACAGAAAAACCTTGTATTATGTCTAACAATTTAATATAGCAGTTATATAATTCCATTACCTGACAGGAAATTATAGAAAGTTTATTGCTTATGTAATCAGTTACTCTTTATTTTTACTTGTTACTGTAGTATATGCAAGTGATAAAACCAAGATGCTTTGCAATTGGACAAGATGGCAGTGAACTGTGCTTCTGTTGTTTTGTAGACAATTTTATTACTATCACCAGATGTGCACTTTTTGATCTTTTCACCAGCTATATTTTTTCTTCTATTACAGGAGTGCTTGTAATCAACGTAACGTGGAGAGGGAAGACTTACGTTGGAACCCTCTTGGATGCTACCAAACATGACTGGGCTCCCCCAAGGTAATTTTATTTTATTGTAATATTTTTTCCTCTTCATTTTGAGGACTTAATCTATAAGATATCAATCTGACTAGCAGTTCAGTTGTACTGTAAAGGTAACAAAACTTTGTAAATCAAAAAAGGAAGAGATGTTGGCACTTTGTTTCCTTTTTGCTCTTTAGATTTCGAGTCATTGAGAATTTTGGCTAGTTTTCCTGGGTATGCTGTTTTGGGTCCATCTCCATTGTCAAATTTGTAGAATTTATCACCTGAAATTAACCTTTGAAAAGAAAATTATTTCTAAAAGAGTAACCACACTATCCATCTGCTCTAAAGTTTTGTACTTTCAATATTTGCAATACCAGCAAAATATAGATAAATATCAATAAACTCTAACCTCAATTCTGAAAAAGTGAATTGCAGACAGGAATTTGGTTAAATAAAATAAATCAACTTTGTTTTAATAGAGATTTTACAAAAAAAGTGTTGCCTAAATTGATTAATATGGCTATAGATAATAGTTGATAAAACAAATGATTTGGTAGCATTTTAGTGTTTTAAAGTTTTTCATGTAAGTTGAGAAAGCATTGCAACAAATAATTCATGCAAATGAACAATTATTTAATCACTATATTTTATAATAGCAATAGTAACTTCAATTATAATTGAAACTGATCTAAAGAAAACATCTGATTCATAGTGTATGGCATGTAGTTCAAATATTGTAGCTACCACCTTTGTTGTTGTTGTTGTTTATATAAGAGAGAAGGGGAATTCTCTTGTTTTTGGTTGTCTTTTCTTTGTGGTGGGCTACTTCAAGTCTGCTTGTGAAATTGAACAAAATCAGCAGGACAGTTTCTTTGACTGTTAGAAATATATTTTCATTTCTTTTAACTAATATTTGTCAAGTAATCTATTCACTCATTTTCTTAACATATTCATATAGTGATGTCAGAGATGAACTGGGCTAGTTCTAGAAAATAAGAAAGCTTAAAAAGAAAAGATGTCCACTAGCTGTGGAATCATTATTTACTAAATATTGCCACTATATTTATTTACCTGAAAAACCATCAGAAATTAAGGATCCCAACATTGCAAGGAAATGATGCTTGTATAAGTTTGTACATTGATATCTAAAAATAGCTATTTTGATCACTTTGGTCTGAAAGTATATATTTTTGACATCATTGTTTAAATAATTTGGATGTAGAACTTTAAGTGATTATTCATTTAAAAAATAGACAAGAAATCTTTTATATTTGAAGATGATAACTTTGTTTTTGGAATTTTTAAAATAATAAATCTAAATGTGGCTCCTTGAATTTTGGCTCTAAGAAATTTAATTTAGATGTTGTCTATATTTAGATGTTTGTACATTTAATTTTGATATAGTTAAAAGAAAAAAGAATTTCTTTTGATTCTTCATACATTTTATAGAATTGAACTTCCTATACATTTTAGTAAAAATTGAAACCAATTGCATTCCTAATGTTTGTAAAAGTTAAAGAGGAGAAATTAAGGAAATATCTTTGAACTCGTCAATTTGTCGATCATTATATTTTTGTAAGAAGTCTTTTTTTTATCTTTTTTTTTTCTTTTGTCATATTTTTCCATGATCACAATCAATGAAAAATGTAAGTTTTATCTTGTAAATTGAAAATCCTATATTCATTTCTTTTCACACTGAATATTCCTGAAATATTTTTTTATATACATATCAAATGAAGTGTTTTCCATTTCAAGCAAATCATTACACGATGAGCTAGAAAATGATTTTTTTCCCAAATTCTCAATTTATTTCACTTTTGTCTCTTAATTTATATCCAGAATCAATGTAAATAAGCCATATCTCACATTGCCAAGTATTTCAATAATTAGAATGATTTTTTTTCCAATGACTTTAGAAAGAAATGATTTTATGACAATACCTTTTATGGACTTTTACCATTAGAATATGTCTGTCTCCTAACATTGCATCTTTATTTTACTAATAATGCATGTATGTCATATATGGTTTTATTTCATTCAAACATTCATTTACCTATATCCCTTCTGGTTGTTTCATGCATGACAATGTTTTGTAGATACTAAGTTTTCTAATATTTTCCTTTTTATTTTACTTTAGTAGCTTGTTACTGTAATGATTGGGTTCTATGTTCAAAGTTCATCAGCTGATACTTTTAGATTAAATACATGTAAATAATAAATAAAGATACATATGTTATTCAATTTTTGGCCATAACTATTGAGCATTGACTTTAACAAGTGGCTAGTCATTTGTTCAGTATTGATTGAATTACCTTGTAACTTCTCTATTTAGTATTGCTTAATTCAGTCATTGTATCAACAGTTTAATAATTTGGTATTAACACTCTGTGTAGATTTGTATTATTTTTATAAAACTTATTTTCTTGGCTTTGTCAAATTTGTTTATTTTCACGAGTTCTTTCTCAGGCAAGCTTTTAAAATAAATCTGTACTCTAATTTCATTTCTTAACTGTACTTTTCTCTATGAGCATTGAATACTCTTTTTCTGCATGTTTTTCCTGATTGTGTAAATTTTCTTTCTTGCCAATGGAATAATATTTATTTCAAGCATTCTGTTTGTGACAAATTTAACTAATTCTTTAATATTTTAACATTAACATTTTTTCTTGTGTGTATAAAAAAAAAATTATACTGTATAAAGTTTTTTTTTTTTTTTTTTTAATGTTTTAATGCTTCATGGGAAAATATGCAAAACAGTGCATGCTTTAAAATCAAAAGCTTTAATAACCACCTTATCCTTTTAACTGCTATCAAAATTAGTTTTATTCATATCAGTATTATGGGCACAAAATTGTCAGCCAAGATATCTTGTTTTTCACAATCAGCAATTATTTGAATCGGATAATGTTATCTTTTGTTGACATCATTGTTTCATTCCATGCAGAAGTTGCCTCTGCTCGGCAACAATATAGAAACCTTTTTTTTTTTAATTTATGACTTTTTATACTTCATTATCATTATAATTTTGCTTCCCTATTCTGTAATCATTTGTGCATTTTCTAAAAGTTGATCATGTTATGTTCTAATCTTTTAGTCACAAAGGCAGAGCTGGTGAAGAGATTTTTTCCAGTTAGCTTACACAACACCCTATTTAGAGTATTTTTCAAATTATTTTCATATGATGATTTATACGCTTTGAACCCACTATCAGAATGCTAAATAATAAAAAATAAACCCATACAATTATATGGTCACTTCTTGAGATACACAGATTGTCATAGTTAGACCAAACATATTGTAATTATTTTACATAGTTTCTTTTTATCATTCAAGAATATGCTAACTTTTTTTAATAGCTGCAAAATTTTACTGTTCTAATGTACATCTGAAATGACTAAATCCATAATGTTTTAATTAAATATCTTATAGTAAAAGTAATATTTTAGCCTACATATGGTAACATTAGGCAAAATTCACCTCTTGTTTTATGCAGTGGTTTGTAATAAGTAAGGAGAACTCTGTATTTAGAAAAGATACCGATAAATAACTAAATGTGTTTGGAAATTTTATTTGTATTTTAATCTTTGAAAGGTTTTGCTCAAATCTTCTGATTATTTTTGCTATTGAAATAGGAATTAGAATTTGATGCCTTTATTGTGTTGAATATGTAGTGAAATTATTCCATTTGTCTTCCCTTTTTTGTTTTTGTTTTATTTTGATCTGTATGTTTTCCATCAATCTCTAGATGGTATGGAGATTGTTCTCATCTTTAATAACATATGTAAAATTGACATAAACATACTTATCAAGAGATTATTATTGAATATCTATAAATTGAATAGAATCTACATATTCGTAAGATCCCAATTTATTGAATCAATATTATAGCTTCCATGTCAACATATCCAAAGAAAGTGTATTCTGTAGAATACATATGATTTTGTTTACTTTGTTTAATTTGCCTATGAGCTAAGACCAAGTTGCTGGAAAAAAATAGTCTCTTTTTATGTGATTAGTGGAGAACTAGTAAGCATGAATGTATTCAGCAAACAGTAGCATTCCAGATTACTGGATTTGCAAGCAGTGGAGGTTATTACTCACACTTTATTCTTTATATTTATTTATTTTATTATCATTATTTATTCTTTTTTAATACCAGCCAAAAGAATTTTTTCCATGTTTTTTGATGTTTGGAACCATATTGGAAAACCTTCTCTCATCCCTACTCTGCAATGCAAGTAGACTATAAGGAAATTCATTTGTTTCAGCTTTTAGATGGGAAAGTAAGTTTCCCAACATGTCATACTCTTCATTTATGTGCATGGCCAGGTGGACAGATCAGTGTTTTAAGACACCCCCCTCCACACACTCCCAACCTCCTACTTTTTCAACAGTACTTTTCTTCCCATCTTTTAAACATGATTAATTTTAGATTTGCAAATCTTGATTTGGAAATACTAAAAATATTTTTGCCAGAAAATAAATAGAATTGACTTCCAATTTTTTTATTTTATGAACTTTGCCATATTTTTGCAAGTATTTGAAAAATTCTACCTATTTTTATGGCTTGAAATATAAATAGGGACATTAGTAAATGCTAGAAAATGATTATTGTATTCTGGAAGGATCGTTCTCCTAAATCCATTGGAAATATAGTCCAAGTTTTGTGTGTAATAATTTAAGCATAGAACTGATATACACTTTCTAAGGAGATTGATCTGAAAATATGTGTTGCAGAAATGTAACTTAGTTCTTGCATGTATTATCAGCTCTTGTTATAAATATCATTTGTACATCATATAGATTTTAATTAAAAACAAATCAAATGCATTGTTGATTATGTAAAAGCATGACTAACTGTAGATGCTATATGTATAAATGAAGACAGTAGCAAAGGATAGATAAAAGCAGTTTTACTTTTTCTGTTTCCATTTGTATATGTCTCTCTCTATGCCTTTACCCTTCCCACTGCATATATATATATATATATATATATATAGCTAATTTACCATTTGCTACAGCAAAGATGTATA